CAGACACTCGCTTCGGGTGATAGGGAACCCTTCCTCCAAGTTTTAAATGCAGGGTCCCTCAGGGTACTGTGCTCGCTCACGTGGCACCAGCGCTCCTGGGGAATTTGTTGGTCGGTCACATAGGGGATGTGTCTCAATCGCAACCGCATTCAGACCTTGACGAATGGTGGATTGACTCGCTTTGCTCGGCTAGTGGCAACCTGTCTGACTCCCAGCGGGTTAAATTGCGTGCGCTGCTGCATGAATTTTCAGACGTTTTTAGTAAGGACAAATTTGACATTGGGTGTACTAAATTGCTAACCCACCACATTGACACAAGGGACGCCGCTCCCATCCACCAAAACCCATTCCGCTTGAGTCCTGTCGAGAAGGAGCATGTCAGATTGGCCGTCAATCCCATGCTGGCGGCAGACATTATCTCCCCATCCACCAGCCCATGGGGAGCCCCGATTGTTTTCGTCAAGAAACATGACAGAAGCTTAAGATTTTGCGTGGATTTTCAAAAACTTAACAAAATCTTGGTGGCTGACGCATACCCACTTCCTCGCATGGACGAGTGGCTAGACGCCTTGGCAGGTGTGTGCTATTTCTCGACGCTGGACCTCTTGTTAGGGTTTTGGCAATTGCCTCTTGACGAGACGTCGAAATCTAAGACGGCTTTACGTACAACGCAAGGCCTCTTTGAGTTCAACCGGCTGCCCATGGGGTCTTCACTCGGCCCCAGCGACATTCCAGCGACTGATGGAGCTGGTCCTCACTGGGCTCCAGTGGGATTCATGCCTGATTTATTTAGACGATGTTATCGTCTTCAGCCGTGCATTCGACGAGCATCTTACCGATTGAGGGCCATTTTTGTTCAGATGTGGGCTGCGAACCTGAAGTTCAAACCGCAAAGATGCCACCTCCTGCGGGACTCCGTTCGATATCTTGGCCACATTGTTAGCCAGTCAGGCATTGCCACTTACCCTGAAAAAACGAGTTGCGTCCGCTCATGGCCGATCCTCACTTCAATAGGGGATGTACGAAGCTTCATTGGGTTTGCGTCTTATTATCAGCGGTTCGTGGCAGGGTTTGCATTAATCGCAAAGCCACTCCATGCACTAACGGCAAAGGGAGTGAAATTTTATTGGGGGGAGGTCGAGCAGACCACATTTGACTCTCTTCGCGACACCCTGATAAATGCCCCTCCCTTGTGTTACCTGAATTTTTCTATGCCGTTTGTCCTCAACATGGACGCCAGCAACACCGGCATCGGGGGGGTGTTGTCCCAGGTCGTCGATGGTATCAAACGTGTTGTTGCCTATGGCAGCAGAGTGTTGTCCCCCGTGGAACAATGCTATTGTGTCACCCATCGCGAACTGTTGGCCAGTCATCTTTATTCATCAGTACAGGCCATACCTATATGGTAGGCATTTCACCGTGCGTTCAGACCATGCGGCACTTCAATACGCGTTACGAGTTGACCAGCCATCCAGTCAACTCTCTCGCTGGCTCGAAGTCCTTCAGGACTACACGTTCACGGTCACCTATCGAAAAGGTGTCCGACATGCTATCGCTGACGCCTTGTCACGATTGTCGACTAGCGGAAAGTGCGCGTGCTTCCTCAGTTCGGGGCGTTGCAGGCAACCAGTTGACAGCTCGCCTCAGCCCCTTGCTGCTGCGGCCGATGCTGGGATCAGTCCCCCTGGGGTATCCGACGCATCAGTCATGCAAAACGCGCTACTAGGCCTGTGTCTGGCTGATTGGGGGCGTCTCCAGGTGGAAGACGCTTCCCTTCTTAAGTTGCGCCGTCACGTCGGAGAGTCGCACGGGGGTAGAGGTCGTGGGGGTCCCGCTTCTTTCACCGTACGAGACGGCCTCTTGATGAAATGGGACGGCTGCTCGCAAGCATACAAATTGGTGGTGCCCACTGCTCTGTGGGGCAAGGCTGTGTGGGCTGCTCACGAGCGCCTCCTGCATTTAAGAGTGCACAAAACACTTGCCATGCTCCAGCTGCACTTCTTCTGGCCGGGCATGGCAAGGGACGTAGCCGACTTGCTCCAAGGCTGCACCCAGTGCGCCCACCGAAAACCTCCCGTGAAACCGTACTGCCCGCCGTTGCAATCCATTCAGGTGTCCTGCGTCAATGAACTTGTCACCCTGGACATCCTGCGGCCATTTCCTGCCACTCCTCAGGGTAACAAGTACCTGCTCGTTGGGTTGGAATACTTCACTCGATGACGTATGGCCTGGGCACTCCCCAACCAATCGGCAGTAGCCATCACGGAGGCTTTCCTCTATTTTTTGTCCGCCTTGCTGTGGGACGTGTGCAACCTGCTGGGCACGCAAAAGATTCATACCTCGCCATATCACCTGCAAATGGACGGTATGGTCGAGCGCCTGCACAGGACACTCATCTCGATGCTAAGCCATCAGGTGTGTGAGTCGCAGGTCGATTGGGACCTGCAGATTCCCGGGGTCCTGTCTGCGTACAGGATGGCGCATTACAAGGCGACTGGTTTCAACTTCATTCTACCTAATGTATGGCAGGGAGGTCAACCCCCAGTGGAGGTTCAGTTGCACATTAAGCCGCCCGCCTGTAAATCGAAAATCGCGAATCACATAAGCTTTAATGTTCAAAAATTGGTCGACACGCAGCAGGCCAACGAACGCCTGAAGGGCCTTCGTATGTCCAGTCATAAATGGGTCGAAGGGTACTAGGCTTGGTTCCATTGCCGCCAGGTGCCCCTGGTGACGTCGCCAAAACTGCTTAGACCTTGGAGGGGTCCGGTTGAGATCATCTGGGTCGTCCGGCCGCAATGTGTTAAAATTCAATACGGTAAACGGCGCTGGTACATCCACCCGTCGCGTCTTAAGCCTTTTGTCGATACACACGCTTCATCCACACTACACGGGTGCCGAGAGCGTGATGTGTCCGACGAGCCAAGTCGTGCATCCACGGTGCCTTACTCTCAAGCCCAGCCATGTCATTGCAGATCCTGAGGACGAGCACTCACCCGCCCTGCCAGCGATCCCCCATGTTGATCCGTTTCCTGCATGACCCGCCACTGCAACCCTCTGCCACTCCAGACAGACCAGAAATGCGCTCAAAAACTCAACGATTTTCATGAACCTACCCATACTCTCACGGCCTCCGCACCACACATTTACCCTCGCGTCCGACTGGCAGTTTTGTTCGGTGATTATTCTTGCCTTTAACTTGCCGTCGGTCGGCCGCAGTGTTAACATCACTGGCTGTAAATTGATTGCAACTGGTGATCATCATAAAATTACTGCATTGCTGCATTTAATTTAACATTTACGAATTAAATTCTACAGTATTCCAAAACGTTGTATAGTTTTTAACTATAATGTACCAGAGGGTAAAATGACTCTGCAGTGAAAAATTATATATCGATATTTCAACATTTTCTACTTTTTGGAAATAAAATTCTCCAAATTAGTTTTTGTTTTATAGGTTTAAATATCAATGTATATCCAGTTACGTATACATACAAACTTATTAAAATGTCATAAGGGCATAATAAAGATGATTAAATTACAGTACAAATAATAACTTAATTGAGTGCCTTGCTGGATTAGCTATTTTCACAAGGAAATTACAAATCAATATTAATATATGCTGTGATAACTAGAAATAATTTAGGAATATTTTATACCAATCCACTTATTGCGTTCACACCAACTGAATATTAAATTCCCAATAGTTTATTTTTGCCTGCATATACAATTACAAAAAAATGTTGTGATAAAAGTAACTTTTTCGTCAATCTCTATCAAATAACACATTTTTGAGCTACTGCTCAAAGAAAAAAAACACTTAAAATTATCTAAACGTTTTACATTTGAATTTCTCTCTGTATGGTTGGTAATACTGTGAATTGTCTTTCACTTCTATTATATTGTTGAGTTAATTATCAATAAGTAAAAAAAATATGGTAGAATAACAAAAAAAGTTAAATACAATTATTGCCACTCCCTTTATCCCCTTGAATATAACCCTTCATAGTGTGGATAATAACATTACCATAAATACATATCACTCCTCTCCCCGAACTCACAATTTATATATTGTTACATAGCTTGAACTCAGTAAGCTGACAAAATATTATTCTTATCCACACTATAATGCAAAAGAACACGAATGCATGAGGGTTTATAAAATGTTTAACGAATGACAATTCTTGACAATGAACGAAGGTATTGAAAGAGTATATTGTAGAAGAGAGGCTCCCTACTGATGTACGCTATAAAAATGAGTTTTCAACCTCGTTGCATTGAGAGCTTTTCAAGTATAGACTTTGCACCCCTTCTTTGTATTTGCTTTGTGAACCTCTTACCACTCTGCAGGCTTCCTATGGAGCCCAAGATTTTATGCAGTCTTGTACAGTCTTAAAAAGGTTGCTAATAATTTCCCGTTTGCGAGTACCAAGCACTAACAGATTCACTATTCTTGCTCTTTGCATTTTCACGTGAACCAAATTATTATGATGTTGGCTATTTCTGTATGTTTATTGCATGGCTTTCTTACCCAATTTATTTTTATTGCCCACTTTTCTTCATAATCACATGGCCCTGGCGACTCTCGGTTCTGTTGATTAAAGCTGTAACGTACACTGCGCAGCCAAACTCCCTGGTGCCTCAATGAATTAAATAGCTGCTGTGTATACACAGACACAAGTCGCATTACATTACAGTGTTTAACCTTTTTTTGTTCCTGTGTAGTAGGTGTTTTTTCCTAATTACTTATGCCTCAAAAGTACATAAAATGGCTATTATTCACCACAAACTTTGCTTTTGTGACTAGGATAGTGATATTTTGAAATTTACCTATTCTCCAGAACAATCCAGATAGATTCAGTGCTGAGTAAACTTGAAGTAACTTCTAGAACATTCTAGAACTTTCCAGTAATATAAATAGTAGTATAAATACAGGGACCTTAAGCCCACCAGTTCAGTTTAGTTCCAGCTGCTTAAGTGGATACATATCTGCATTTTTCTGAGATGGCATCAAGAGGCTGCAAGCATCCGGCAGACGCATTTTGCTATGTCTGCGGCCAATTTATTAAGACGAGCGAAAAAGTATTCTGTGGAAGCATCTGCTAAGATGTGTGAGGCCTACAAAGAATATTTCAGCATGCCTGTCGGGGATCAAGACAAACCCTGGGCACCTCATTTCACCTGCGAGCAATGCAAAAAAACTCTGGAAGGTAAGATGGACAATTGTTGCTCGGAACTTAATGTTTTAAAATGTGTTACAATTTTTTTAATTGTAAAAGTTTTTTATTTAAAATTGTTTTACAATTTTCAATGTCATTGAAAAAATATATCATATATGAAAAATGTTGCGAGAATCTCTTACACATTAGTCATGGGTGAAATAAATGTATTTTTGTAGTATGGTACAGAGGGGAAAAGAGAGCCATGAAGTTTGCTATCCCAATAATTTGGCGGGAACCCACTAATCACTCAAGAAACTGCTACTTCTGCATGGTGGACCCTTCCAAACGTCGGAATGGCAAGAATTCACCTGCTATCACGTATCCGGACCTAGGAGGTCATCGGGACTTCAAAATGGTGGCATTCCTGATGGGTCTCCAAGGCGGTTTTACCAAGTTTCCCTGCTATCTTTGCCTTTGGGAAAGCAGGGACACCAAGGTGCACTACAAACTTAATTTTGGAGCTTTCGTGACTGCAGGAATTATTCTTTGGTTCTTTCGGTAAAGTCACGTATAAAAATAAAATAATTATTTTAAGGTGCACTACCACAGGCAGGACTAGTCACAGCAGACCGAGTTCTCTGTGGGGAGGAACAACGTCAAGTGGGAGCCACTGGTGGACCACCGGAAGGTGCTGCTTATGAAACAATTTGTCAGAGCTGTAGATAAGAAGTCGGCAGCCCTCAAGTACCTTCAAGACTTCTTCCCGAAGCTGTCTGAGGCAAAGGTCAAAGCCGGTGTCTTCGTCAGACCACAGAAAAAAAGATCCTGGAGTGCAATGAATTCCCCAAGAAGCTCACTAGTAAAGAGAAAGCAGAGACTCTGGTGAAGAACTACAGCACAATGGGATGTCCCTCAAAGCCCATATCCTTGATGCTTATCTTGATAAATTCAAGGAGAACATGGGAGCGTACTCGGAGGAGAAGGCGATAGCTTCCACCAGGATATACTGGACTTTGAATGCTGCTACCAAGGACAGTATAACAACAACATGATGGGAGACTACATTTGGGGGCTGATTCGTGAAAGTGATTTACAATATAATCGTAAATCTCGAAAAACTACTAATTTCTAAAAAATTTGTAGTAATTTTTGTATTACTTTAGTATAAATACACGTTAATTTTGATTCATGTTTTTTTTTCTCACTTTATGTGAACGAAAAGACACAAATTCACGCGTTTTATCATTGAAAATAGGTAAATTTCAAAATATGACTGTCCTGGTCACAAAAGTAAAGTTTGTGGGGAATAATAGCCATTTTCTATACTTTTTAGGCATAAGCAATTACAAAATAACACTTACTACCCAGGAGCAAAAATTGTGTTACATAGTGTTATCATTCAGCACAGAATCTGCATGGGTCTGATAAGTTATATCACGCCAATTTAAAACATTTATTGGATAGAAAAAATAAATTACAAAATAAAGATAAACCTTTTGTAATTGCTTGTATAAGCAAATGTTTTTTTTTTTATGAAAGGACAGGATGCAATCCAAATAACTTATTTGTCAATACTATCAAATGTTCTCTAATTAAAACGTTCAACTCTATTTGTGATTGATGAATGCAAAGATGCATTGACATTAATGTTGTATTGGTCACAGCTAGATATGCCATTGCATCAATATAAGCTTTAAAACAAATGCACTTGTCCCCGTGTTGTTAACTTGTTGGCACTCATCTAACACATTAAGTTCACAACAAAACCAGATTTAAAACTTTTTAACAAGCATAATGCACCTGTGAAAAAGTCTAAATACAGTACACGGAATAACGAGGCCGAGTAACTTATTATTAACCATGATATTGTAAATGAGCATCACAAACGACTCCACAGTATTCACAGATGACTTGGCAATCCAATGGTTTAACTTCGTCAGAAATGTGACCAGTGCATCTGCGACCAGTCTCCGAGTGATTCAGAGCTTAGTTCGAGGGAGACGGCTGTCACTTGTTGGACACATCGCCCGCCTTGATGCGCAAACTCTAGAATATTCCGGAGTGGCGCCACCTCCATGGTTGCCCCCATGATACGTGGATCAAACAAATTCATCAAGACACTGGAATGGCAGAAATAGCAGTTTATGCGAATACTGTCGCAAGAGGTCACATGTTTGCCGCAACGGTCCTTTGCTAATGATGCATGATGAATTTCCTATAACACTTAGCCACCTGGCCACATCCTAGAAAGGTCTCTAAAATGCACCTTCATGACATCTCCCAAATCTACGAATACCTTGATGATATCAATGAAACAAACTGGAGCAATGGCCGGAGATAGGGGGTTAAACGGGCATGGCACAGGCTAGTGAAAACATGTGTAGTGTAATAGCGCCACCTGGTGACCAGCAGTGGCAACTGCGGTGTACAAACATTACACACGCCAGTGAGCATATACACGGGTGTGTCGGCAGAGTGGAGGAACTGGGGCAAGGGTCATAGAGGGCCCCATCTGGAAGTGCCTGGAAACTGCTAGTGGGTTCTAAAAGGGAGGCGTGGCCAGGGAAGAGCCAGGCCACGCTGGAAGCTTTGTTTTAGTTTACCAATCCCATCTCCGTGAAATCACGGATAGAGAGCAAGACGTGGGCGAGGGTGGCGAGGTTGGCCTTGTTACAGATTGATTTCTGCAGAGTTCCAAATTATCCAATATGCTGCAGTGAAGAGACTCAAAGAAACAATTTCTCACTCCAATCATCAAGAGCCCAGGTGCCTTTTCATTCACTTGTAAATCCACACCAATAATGCACTTTTTCTTTTCATGGTCCTCTTTTCCATTTGTCTTACCCCATATAATTATAATGTGCTCCTCGTTTACTTGTGTAGGGTAATATACATGGCAAGGGTTATAGTAGGGTCAGTGGAGATGGGTGGAAACAGGTGCAGGGTATTGTAAGAGGGAAGGTTTGAGAAGGGAAGTAGAAGACGGTAGAGTCGGCTGGAAGAATCTACCGGGGGAAAGTGCTGGAAGTTACCAATGCATGTCCGAGTGGGTATATAAAAGGAGGAGGGAGGCCCACAATCGGGGCGCCGGCTAGGGCACTGAAGGACGACTGCCAGTGGACGACATCAGGGCCGACTGTTGGAGATTGACATCTTGGAAACCATCGGGCCAACTGTTCAAGATCTACCTGGTGGAAACCATCAAGAAACACTGTCTGAGATCTACATGGTGCGAACCATTAAGAAGGACTGTTCAAATAAATCTAGTGGAAACCATCGGGGATGCAGATAGGCATAGCCTTGTGAAACGTGTTAGTCATACTCTCGCCTTGTAAATGTGTTATCGTGAAATAAAAGATCTAGAAAATGGACCAATCAGTTTCAAGGACAATGCATAAATTATCAGAATGTTGTTTTTGTTTGCATTCTGACTGCAAGTATTGTGGTTAATGTAAACATGATTCCTTGCAAAAGGTTTTAGTTTTGTCGCCAGAAAAAAGGGGGAAAACCCTATTATTATATTTTGGTACTGGCAAAGGAGGCCTCCTGATGTAGATGCTTACCCCGAGCCCTCATTACTCTGATAGTGCGTTGTCTTTGAACTGTGCGCCTTTTGGCGTCATCTGGTCGAACACCTTATTAGACTAGGCTCTAAGGAAAGCTGTCTCTGGTGTGGACCAATCAGTTTCAAGGACAATGCATAAATGATCAGAGTGTTGTTTTTTGTTTGCATTCTGACTGCAAGTATTGTGGTTAATGTAAACATGATTCCTTGCAAAAGGTTTAAGTTTTGTCGCCAGAAAAAAGGGGAAAAACACTAATATTATATTATTAGTATTTTAGTATTTTTAAAAAGTGTATTTGCCATTAAAGTCCACCATCATCAGATTTTAAAAATACGTAATGATAAATTATAATTCTAATGTATCATGTTACCAAAATTATCCTAAACACCACCATTCAAACTCTCCACTGGCAGAAAAGTATCTCAATATGGCACTAACGCAGATCACTCTGAAAACAATGAATCGGCTCCTATCCCGTTATGCCATCCTGTCTTGTTCATGCAGGATTTATTTACACCTGGTTTGTAGTTAATAGCCTAACAGTGTGAAGCACAAAACAATAGATGTCATAAGGGAGCTCATCTGTAACACCTAATGACACTCCCGATGGGGTACAGCAGGATTTGATGAGTCGTTAATATCAGACATTGGGCATCCTTGACAGGACAAATCATGTAATCCTGTAGAGTTATGCAAAAATATTTATTGCCTCGATCTATTTGAAATGGCAATATTCTGTAAGATAAATGTACTATTATGAACGGCTAATCTGTAGATTATGATCCCCACCTTTGCAGTTATACCATGTGCGGTTAGTCTAGGAATTCCAATTTGCATCTGGGATAATAAATAGATGCAATACAGACAATAGAGTCTGGTAATTGGAAGGAAGATATTGGCATATCTCGCGTTTTTTTCAGTCCCATCATCCTTACTGCCACTCAAAGAAATTGCAAATCCTCTACCTACCCATGATTTGGTCTCTCCTCCCTCACCCAACAATCTCTGCTTTCCTGTCCTCTCGCTTAGTGCTCCATTCCCCTACTCCCCTACTTCTTTTGGCCAGACCATCCATTGCTATCCCTTAACATTCCAATTACACCCACCTCCTCCACCCCTCATTTTAGTTTTGTCAGAACCTTGTACTGATCTGGAAAAAGGAAAACTATTTCACATTGAAATCGAACCATCAGCACAAGATTCTGGCTGATGATGATTATTATGATGATTTTCTTCAGAGGGTCCTGAATCAGTGGTGTAAATACCTCATTTGTAAGGCAATGATCAGTCTCAACCACATTACAAGCTACGATGCACACCATCACCATGCCTCACTGTCCAGTGCTTTACCATCAATCTCCTGCACATTAACTCATCTTATTGCTCCTTCGCAGTGGGCATACCCTTGGACACGTTTTCTGCTTTGGTCACCATTCCTTAACCAATCTCATCCATCGGCATCATCCTGTGTAGCGATGTGTCCTGCTCTAGCCCATTAATTTTTCTTGTCAACATGATGTCTCTGATTTGTGTTTACTCCCTGAATCATGTGTGACTTTTTCTGTCCCTAAGTGTAAGTTAAAGAGTGCATCTTTGCATACTTATTTGTGTAATGTGTAGATTGTGTTTTATATTCTTTCTCCGTGGTTATGATCAATAATGTCATATAGCTGGAATTGTGGAATGATTGAAAACATTTTTCTTCAGACACATGGGTCCCCATGTGTTTTTGGCGACCAATATTATTAATAATAAAGGTTTTTGGGTTAGATCGCGTTTTTTATAAATGTGTCAATCAGTAAAAAATGTGTCACGTTGACAAAAGACAAATAGTTCACTACTTTAGCAATTTCGCTGGTAATTACACCGGTGGGTTAAAGTAGTGAACTATTTGTCTTTTTCTAGATTTGACGTTTTCGTGACTGCAAGGATCCATACTCTTTTGGGTTTTTTCGGTATAGTCACGTAGGTTAAAAAAAGAAAACAAATAAATTAAATCACGACGTTTCGGAGGCAACACAAGCTTCCGTCTTCAGGTGGAACCGACAGCAAAATTACTTTATCAAGTAATTTTGCTGTGACGGTTACTGTATCATGTAATTTTGCTGTTACGGTTCCACCTGAAGACGGAAGCTTGTGTTGCCTCCGAAACGTCGTGATTTAAAAAAAAAAATTTTTTAACCTACCTGACTTTACCGAAAAAACCAAAGAGTATTTGTCTTTTGTCAACGTGACACATTTTTTACGGATTGGCTGTGTCGGGTGGTGGAGGGTTGCGACACATTGATAAATAACGCGATCTAACTCAAAAACCTTTATTATAGACATTCAATATTGACTGAAATAATCTCATGTTTGGATTTCATTTTTATATATAACATAAAAAAACTACTTTAATCCCACCTTTGCATATTAATACATCTTCTTACACTGAATTCACATTTTATACTCTGCGGGTTTCGAATCAAGTTCGTGGCACTGCTTCGGTACATGACTTATCAGCAAGGATGCAGAGAATACAATCTCCTTTAACCGCCTTCTGAATCAAAGAAGCCAGCTAGCACTATATCCTTATAAAACACGACTCTATCATAATTTAGCTGCACGCAGGATATATTAAATTAATATTTGTTAATTTTAATCGGGACTGCATGCTATTTATGATGAATCTTGTTTTAAATATGCCTGTTTTTTTTGTTGTTGCTGCTGAACATAAGCAGAGCATCTTTTAAACTATTACAAAAAATACCACAAAAAACAAACCACTCCAACAATTTTACCGCACTTCGTATAGAATTGCGCTTAAAACAATATACAGTATATGCCAATTCAGTCGAATAAATATAATGGAGGAATAACCTAAATTAAAACATTGCTAAAGAAGTACCTGAACTGTGATAAATGTACTCCAGTTGTGTGCGTTTTAAAAAAGGAGATCAAACAAACGTGTTCGGAAACTCTATGGTAATGCATTATGGAACAGGTGGAAGGTGGCAGTGGCAGTTGTTGCAAGGAAATGCCACGTGCTTGCTGTGGATTTAAGGCTAGGGGGCGGAAGCAGAGGTCGCAAACGGGTTTTGATTCCTTACCCGTACCCGGCCGCACCAGGGTCGCAAATGGGTACCCGTACACTACCCGATACCCGGCTACCCGTACCCGGCCGGGTATCGGGCAGGGTACGGGTACGAGTACCCGATTGCGACCTCTGGGATGAAGCCATGTTGCAGGCGCGGGTGGGTTGATTCTAGGAACTTGAATTGTGAGAAGAGACAAGACGTTGGGAAATGAGTGACAAACGGTTACTCACCAGTGACTCACGGCCTACCCGTACCCGTACCCGGCCGCACCAGGGTCGCAAACGGGTACCCGTACCTGTACCCGGCCGGATACGGGTAGCCGGGTACAGGTATCAGGTACCCGATTGCGACCTCTGGGCGGAAGGCAGCGGGTGGGGGCTTGTCATTCTTTTTACAGAATAACACCAAGGGCACGCAGAGTGAACAAGGATCGGGGGAAACCAGCCAAGGTACAAATTTGAAGCACTTCTGAAAACAAATAAAAATTAAGATCACAAAGATGATATTCCCACGGTTTTCCCCTTTTTTAAATCAGATATAGTGTTGCATAAGTGTCTGGTCATGTATAACAACTCCGAATAAAGCTGTCTATGTCTTCCCTGATGTCCCCTCCTCAATGTCAGAGTATGAAGTGTCTAAACTACATCTCAGTCTCTGTCATGGTATTACCTGGATACACAGGTCCTGTATCTTTTGCAGGGTGTTGAGACTCACCTGCAATTAGACACTAAAGGAATTCAAATTATAATGCATTCACCCGTTTATACTAAAACATACTTTGATCTTGAAACATTTATATTCATTCTATGTTCCTTGCAATGTTGATCTACAATGTGTTATATTCTCATGTACAACCCCTGTATTTATATCAGATCTCCCTTGCAAAAGGCATGCATTCTTCATCGGTCTCCAGATCCCCAAAGCATACTGTTGCAGTCATTTCTTAGATATGTCTGGTGTTTTTTAAAACAGTGCCGTTGAGAATAGCTTATGAGCCGAAGAAATGTCTATTTAGAACTTTTGCAGAGTAGTCTTTGAGAAGGGTATGTTGGAAGATGAAATATAAAACTACTTCTGAGATCCCTTCAAGTCACCTCTTATCCAAAACAAGGTGTGCTGCACTATCTCAATGTTATTGAGGTGTTCATCACGTCGCAGTCAAAACAACATTTTAAATACTCAAACCCGGAATTTAGCAAACCGAATTTTATGTAATGGGAGTTTTTTGTGTGCATTCAATGTTTATTGCCATGATACTATCAGCTCAATGCAATTGAAAAACCAGTGTAGTCATGGGTGGAGATTCAGATTCAAACTCAGGATCTGAGTGGTGCCACCTCAGTGCTCTGACCACCCCAAAGTCACCTGGCCACTTTGTCGACTTCATTTTATCTGTGTAATTTCAATTACAATGTTCATTCAGTATACAAAGCTCCCACCTCTGGCAATGAGAATCATCGCCATATTTTCCACTGTATAATCTCCCTTCCTGGTATGTAGGGGAATAGGTGCAATTGCTTATAGTATTTCCCAAAAAAACAGTGCACGTTTTAATAGTTTTATAATACCGTATATTTATACCCAAGATGATCACTTATTCCTACTCACTAGTCTCCCAGCTACCTTGTCATGCTGCCTGTGATTGTTTCTATTTATTTTCCCATTGTATAAGGACAATGTGATGCTTCTTCCCAGGGCTGTCCATAGCGGGGTGCGGTGCCCAGGTGAAATCACGCAGTGTGGGCTCCCCAACGCCTTCAAACTAAACCGGAAGTATTACGTCTGAAACCGTAATGTCGAAGCGCGGGGCCCCCCAAGGCGTGGGGCCCTAGGCAGTCGCCCCGATTCGCCATACCCTTGGGACGGCTGTCACTTCAGTCTTTCTTGCCTGCTCAGTTTGCCAACGTATTGCACTGCCATGCTCTTGTACCAGCTGTACTTTTTAACGTCTAAATAGTTTTCTTTGGCCATTAATGTCCATCCCCTGCGCATGTATTACGTCTTGGGTATGTTGATTTGTTTGTGTTGTCTCTGCATATCAATGTGCTCCATCTATAAATTGCTGATACTTGAAATGGAGTGGTGTGCTCTGTGATCTGTTGATCAAGTGCTGCAGACATAAGTGGGGGGTCTGGATGGGGACTGGCATCTGGACGGTGTGTGGGTATATCATTGCAGAATGCATGCATCTACAGGCTGGCATTATGCTGGAAGCTGAAAGAATAGTGCTGATTAACACGTGCTGAAATGCGATTGCATGATAATATGCTGTAAATGAACAATAATCCATTGTCAGCTCTACAAATATTGTGAACAGTGTCTGGCCTACCTGGGCTCAATTATAATGCTAAAATTTTTGTTTAATAATTGATGATGACCACAATGAACTGTGTTCTGCAATGCTCGTCCTTTTTATCTCTATCGGATGCATGGCTTTTAGCTAAACAATAATGTTTTTATTTTAGCAAAAATCTCAGTAATGAAGTACAATGACAGCTAGTTTTCCACATTCTGTCTGATCACACCTTTTTCCGTGAAAAAAGTATTTAATCACACTTAATACAGTTATTCATTAACGAATGGCACTTTATTTTATTTATTTTACAACTGGGGCATGCTGCCTGAGGGAGTTGTAGGATTTTGAGGGTGAGGATTTTGGTGTTTCAGGTTTAGAGTCAAGTAATAAATTTATGATTGGGTTATAGGTCCTGCACCTCCGATTTGCACGGTTGGCTATGTACGGTGCAAAATAATTTCAAAATTTAAACATACAGACCCAGCATTTAAAGACAAGTAGGCTATGGTGAGAGAAGGAATTTAATTGGCATATGTAGACAAGTATAAAGACAATACCACAAAAAATGTCACATGAATAAAACAGTATACTCAAACTACCAAAGTAATTTCTATTTTTAAATGCATTCATACAACAATGTTTATTAAAATAATATTACTTTATATATAAAACCTATATTTACAGTAATGATGTGAATAAACTTCTGAATACTGCAATAAAAATGAAAGCATTTAAATATTGGATCATTCAAAAAGCAATCTTCCTTTTACCGCATTTTTTTATTATTATTATACATTTTCTTACATGTTTATGTTTAAATGAGATTTGTATGCGCAATATATCACAACATTGTTTCAAATGGATTGCTTTTTAAATTTTACAAATATGTCAAGGGAAGGGAAGGCTCAAGGCCATCCATGCAAAAATAATAAAATGTGTCAGTTGCTATTTCCCAAACTGGTCCCTAAGCACTAAACGCATGCTTGCATTCAGTGCAGGTGGCCTTTTTTTACAAATGCCAAACCTGCACACACCTGCTCAATTTGGATAAAAAATTAAGTGCGTGCAGAAAAGCACCCATGCTTCAAAGTCACTATGTACTCCAATAATATTGTGAGTTACTGCAAACTAGAATGTATGTAATAATAATAACACTAATAAAGTTTGACATGAAAAATGCAATGGCTGATGGAATTATAATTAATTTTTCTATCACAGCCATCTGAAAGCAATATCATACAAATAGTATTTTTGTCTCGAATCTTTCATAAGAATTTCATCATCAAATCCAAATCTAATTTAGATAAACACGATTGTGCACACGTATGCAAACACAAACACACCCGGTGTAAAAGTACAAACACAAATCCCCTCCCCCCCTTTAGCTTTATAGACTACAAGTGCTGTACCTGTTAAGGCTGGAGAAACACACATGGGAGTGGTGCGGTCAGAAAAATGCCTAGTCACCTTTGACTTCCCATTGCTAATATTGACATATTGCAATAGGTAGTAAATGTAGGTCAATTTCCACCTCGAAACAGCCGAGAGTAATGTCAGATACAATTTCCAATTGGTGGTGTTCATGGCCAAGAAATGAACCTGGGTGGCCAAGATTGTAGCATAGTATATTCAGCATGCCACTACTCCCATAACACACATACTCAACGACACACACACACACAATGATGCAAACACAAACATACTGCAAAAATTCAACAACAACAAAAACTGATTTTGGACAATGGTCCTAAAGGGAATTCAGACCCAGTCCCAACATGCAGCTTGTCATGATGCTGGTAGGAAAATCGATTCTATTTGAAGCTGTGAATAAGGAATTGAATTTGAAATGGAAAACGTCGCCTAAGGGCACCCATTGATTGACCAAGCAGAAGGTTTTACTTCTCCGAGAATTTCCCCCTCTCATTTCCTCCTCCCTTCTCTCCCCTGCAAATATATGCCTCCAGTCCAGTCAACATCGTTCCAAACTCAACCTGAATTATAATCAGCACACCACACCTCTCCATCCTTGCACCCAGCCTCATGCCAGTTTATCAGCATGCAAAACATGCGGAGGAGTGTGCTGACATTGTAGCATTTTGGGGAGCGATGGATTGTATAGCTGCAATTAGAATAATAAAACAACATTAAAACACAGGGTTTCAATGTGCCAGTGCATTAAATGTGCAGAAATGTGGGTTCATTGTGTGGTGTATTTTGGCATAGAGCTCCAGTGGTAAAATAATTTTCCTTTATAATACTTGTAAATAAATAAAATTTAGGTATGTGGGCAATAGTTAATTGAAAATGAGACATTGCATTCCTGAAATATGACATAAATAACACCAGATATTCTTTTAGAGAATAAGTTTTAAAAGTTATGGTTGTCTCAACACAACATTAAAGTGAGAGCAATATCCTAACCTAGAATATTCCTATCATTAATGGAATACTGTAATTCTACATGAAAACATAACATACTGTGACTTTATAAATGGTCCCTGTTTTAAGTATAACGTGCATGCCCAAAAGTGGACGTAATTTCAGGTGGCAGAGGACTTAGTCATGAGACAAAAACCTAGGTGAGAAAATGTTTTAACTTTGTCTATATCAATTTAAAGACATAACCTGGAATGCATATACTGTCCTTGGCCATAATCGGTTATTTTGTTTCCACTATACGGTTTTGTGGTCATTTAGGGCAAAAAAAATGTAGTCCGACAATATTGTTAAAATCTATTTTATAGCCTAACAAATACTAAATATTTGAAAATATACATGCACTAGATCTCATCTATTGTTCACAGACACACATCCTTTTTAACCATATCAGAAAAATGTGGCCCATGGAAATTTGAATCATTCACCTAAATTCTCTATTGCATTTAAGTGAGAAGTATAAGGCAAGCATTCGAACTTAATAACAAACAGGACGAATTATCAGCACGAAACTAAAAAAACGTCTGGGAAATATTAAATAGTCCCAAATACAACTGTCAGCAGTAGCAGAACACGCGTGCCAACAAGGATACTCAATTGATTTTGATAATGTGCAAAACTAGCTACGACTGGCCAAGACGAATTAGAGAATCTATAGAAATTGAAAGAAATAAAAAATAATTTTAACCGTTCGGATAGCTACCGAATTAGTGCTGCGTGGAAGCTAATCATCAAATAATAAATTGTTTAAATGCATGCCTATGCCTATACAGGCCAGCATACTTTAATATGGATGACTGTTGGTACAGCTATTTTAATACACACAATGGACAGGAAGGACAAGATCAAAGGGCTCGCAAAATGTGCATGCATAATGTACGTTGACCCATTAACCCCCCCCCCCCTCCACTTTGCGCAAGAGCGCAAAAGTGTAGTCACCGCATCTACGCCTCTATATAAGGAACGAAACAGGTGGACTCCTCCATAAATCTGGCTGTCGCCTGATGAAGCTAGTTGGCATTACTGCGAAACGTTGTACTCAGATTGTAAATGTTGTCGCTTGGCTCTCCAACACACCAGTGTGCTGTACTAGTGACGAATTGGCATGTTCTGTTTACGTGACAACCCTTACGAGTTGGCTGTGTCGGGTGGTGGCGGGTTTTAATGACACATTTATATATTTATGCGATCTAACCTGTGCCAAATCTGACTCAGATGTTTTGTTTTTTCAAACATCAAGCTAGTTTATCAGTTACTCCCGCAATGTACGGTATTTTGATCGTTTTAGTTACTTTGGCAGTTTTAATACTCGTGTTATTTTATTTGGTTTTGGCATTCAATGCCCTGATTTGAAGCTTTTGTGACTGCAGGAATCCATACTCTTTGGTTCTTTCGGTAAAGTCACGTAGGTAGAAAAAATAATAGATCACGGCGTTTCGAACGCAACACAAGCGGTCGTCATCAGGCAAAGGGGTCAGCCTCTAAAGGCAAACTGTTTATAAGGGTTTGGGAATGGGCGTAGCCCAAGTGTATCCACAACACCAGAAGCACGGGCGGTGCACGAGTGACAATGCAGCAACAGTGACAATGCAGCAACAATGCCAATGCAGCAACAATGCCCAAATCTTTATAAACAGTTTGCCTCTAGAGGCTGACTCCTTTGCCTGATAACGACCGTTTGTGTTGCGATCGAAACGTCGTGATTTGTTTTATTTTATTTCTAACTACGTGACTTTACCGAAAGAACCAAAGAGTATTCAATGCCCTGTTGATTTGTGCACCACTGTAACCGTTAATTTGCAGCGCTTCTTTAACATGTTTAATTTCACTTCTCAGACTGTCACCATCTGACACTTTCTTAGCTCGTTGAAAAAGCGTCTTGATAAGAGCAGATTTCTGTGCGGGGTGATGGTGTGACTCTGCATTCAGATAGGCGTCTGTATGCGTTTTATTTCGGTAAATGCTGTGTTATTTTACCATTTTGACCCCATCCGAGCGGAATATCCAGAAATGGTAGAGTTCTGTCAGCTTCCACTTCCATGATGGACTGGATGGATGGGTTTTGCGAGTTGAGATGATTTCGAAATTCGTTAAGTGTATCTTTGCCATGTGGCCAGACCACCAATGTGTCATCCACATATCTAAACCAAGCAGAGGGTTTTGGTGTGCTTGAAGCTATTGCTTCAAAATATTTCATGTACAAAATTGCTATCACAGGAGACAAAGGAGAGCCCATTGCTGCTCCTTCCTTTTGTTTATAGAAGTCACCTTTCCATAACAAATGTGTTCTTTAGACAGTGTTCAGCTAGTATTGGGATATCTTTGATGACACCGCATTGCCATTGCATTGGCAGTGGTGCACAAACACGACTTAAAACAATACAAGGCATATTTACATATTTGTTTGCATATATGTTTTTTTTACCAGAAGAATGTGTGGTTGCACAGATATAATGTCTGATAATTGATATCTATTCGGTGTTTGAACATCTTAACACCTGTATTCATGCCAAATGGGTAAAATCTTTTCATCATTTAATATCTTGG